CCCGGTTAGCTCAATTGGTTAGAGCGCTGGACTGTTGTGCGGGAGGTCGAGGTCGATGGTTCGAGCCCCGGCCGGACCAACACTCAAGGTCTTAAAATAACTGAGGAGAATGCACTACCTTTCTATAATATCAAGAAATGGATAGACATTCTAGTCTTCTCGGATAAGGACGAATAAACCGTAGGTCCCGTCTCCTGCATCTACTAATTAGCTAATTTGGTTAGGCAGGGGACGTTAAAAAACCCACTCACGAGATTACTGTGATGTGGTCTGGCCTGTTTACTGGGATTGGGGGGAGGGGGCATCTTCAAATAAGTTTCCTTCGATTGTTTGTAAACTGCTGATGCAGTCCGGCCAAAGTCCCCCGAAAAGTGTTGTGATGCGCATTTCATCATATTCACATGTTAATTTGCGCAATATAAATATTAAGTTATTATTATTATTATTATTATTATTATTATTATTATCATTATCTTGAGCAACTTCAGTCTTTGGCACAAGAGCACTACCTTGCCAATGCACTATTGTTCCCACCTCGGTAACACGAGGCATAATAGGTAAAAATGGGTGTTCTTTACCATTAAAAACTTTTTGAAAATTTTACGGTCTCACCTCTTCCAAGGATCGTAAACATTTCTAGGCTTTTAAAACAGCGGTCTAAGAGCATTGCACATTGCATCATTATTAGGTAGAACTATTGTATTAAAGAGAGTGTGTATTTCTGAGTGATTATACCCCTCTTTACGCAGCGTTCTCAGGATATGTAGGGATTTGTTAGGTTTAATAAGTTTGTTCTTCTCGTGCACTGAAAATTTGCTATAGCATTAGAAGGTGACCCCTAAAATTTCTACTTCTTTACAGCTTGGTATCATCCCGATAGGTGAATATAGAGATTGCAGTTGCCTCTCTTATTATTATCACCACTTGATGTTCCTACCAAATCTTTAAGTCCCCCCTTCACTCCCTGTTACAAAATGGGTTGCAAGTTAGGGGTGTTTTAGACAAAGATAATTTTTCTACCTGGGAGAAAGATGGAAATCCAAACAACTCACATTTACTTTTGGAAAAAACCTCGCGTTCAAATAAATGTCTAATTGTCGCAAGTAGAAATTATGAATGCTGCGGACTGCCTTTGAAATTAACCATAAAGATATTAAAGTTATTTAGGTTATATAAATGTAAGGGGAAGATTTAATGAACATGTAGTTTTTGGCATAAATCTTATAATATTCATTTTATATTAAATTTTGATATGTGCTGTGTAGGTGTCTCTGGTGCGGTTCTGATGCTCACCCAAAGGGTAAAAAGAACCTTTTTTTTTTAAAAAAAGGTGGCTTTTTGAGCTTTTCACCTTATCGACTAGCATTCGCAAAAAAATTATTGTAAAAGTTATATTGCTTGTTGAAAACCTATAGAGAATTTTCAACTGTTTTAAACAATCAGAGTTCCTTTTTTGACATAAAAAAATGGTAGAATTTCCGGAATCTTTCCCTGGTTATTTACATTCTAGTTTTTTACGCAAACCAATGACAAAATCCCCTGATGAAACTAAAATTAAGAAATGTGTGTGCGATTGAAATCCAAGAGCTAGGATCTTTGACATGTTTTAATTGGCTATTTACGCATTGGCGGACTGAAGTATTCAGTTCGAAACTGCGTTTTTGTAAATAACTCTCGCGCATTTCAATATTAACAAAACATTTTGTAGCAGCGGAGCTACCACACTGATGCCTTTCGATTGTCCACACGTCGTACAATAAAAACAAACAACTTAGTTTATTGAAAGAATCACAGTTCGTTTACACGCAGCGATGGTTACTTTTGTTGGTTTCCTTTGTGGTTAGTGGATATAGAAACGATGAATAGAGCGATGAATAAAGCGGTAAATACAGCGGTAAATAGAGCGACAAATAGAGCGGTAACGAAAACTACCAGAGAACAACAGAACCTAACATTACAAAGCGAGTACGAATATGCGATAAACAAGAAACAAATCTCTGAAATAAATAGGAAAAACTCACATCTGTGTCCTAACTGTGATATAACGCCTTCGATTGTCCTTTAAAATCATAGAAATGGAGTCCTTGAACACTATTAACCTTAGGAAACTTAACTTAAACAGTTAATTCAAAACCTTTCTCGGAAACCCAAACATCATACAGTCTCGCTAGCGTGGTCATCCGGAACCTCCCGGTCCAGATCACCGCGGCAATAAAGACATTGCGCATTTCGCTGCAACACATTTTCTTGGAAACCATCTCATCTTATCTCATTGCAAATTATGCCTCCTGGCATGTAGGACAACAACGAAAGCTCTCCACTCCCGTCTATCTTAGGCCAGTCTATGGATTGAGTGCTAGGTAAGGTTGAGGCTCTTCAGTTCACTCTCCGCAGTGCGTCGCTAGGTTTTCTTGGGACGTCCCCTTTTCCGCTTTGCCTCTAGAGCCCAGTTAAGAGCTGTTTTGGTAATGTCATCAGGTTCTTTCCTCATCACCTGACCAATCCAGCTCCATCTTCTTTTCATTAATATGTTCTCCATACTCTCCTGATGGAAATCATGGTTTGTATAGAAATGCTCAGTTTGAAGCGAATAGACATGAATAGATATACAAATGAATTAAGAAGATTGGCCATGAAGTTCTATCGTGTCCTTGTGCAACTGGGCGCGTTATGGGGGAAATATACATAGCATTTCTAATCTAACAGGGCTGGGGGCTACTTGTTTGCAAAAACATAGAGAATTCATGGAATGTTTGAGCATTGCTGAAAAATTCATCTTTGCTTGATATTTACCCAGAGGTCCAGAAACCCCCATTTTAGACTATAGACGATAACTTCTGAAAGGGAAGCTCAGTTTACCAATAGATTTAACTGAGGATTTTGCAATTGTTTTATTTTAAACAAATCTAATACAAACATTTCTACCGTTAAACCGAATAGGCTGAAAACATGTAATGGCACTCTAACAACTTCTTCCGTCAAGCTTAAGTAAGACTTTCAGCCTTCTCTTAATTCACAACACCACTATATGTAGTGAAATGCAGCAAATGAAAACTTGGTTACATTGAAGCAAATGCAAGGAAAACGCTACCAAAAAATGTTATTTTGCTGAGCTTGAAAACAATTACATAGCCTGAGTTATGAATCGCTCAGTTTTTTTTCCTTGGGCTCTTACTTATCACGTTCTTCGTTATCTCCCTCACGACCATCATCAGATGCATCGGAATCTGTATTGCTTTTTTCGGCAGCCTTGTTCAACTCGTTGATGACGCTGTACAAATCCTCTCCAAATTCAACCAACGTCTTAAGCTCTTTCACTGCGGCAGAAATATTTTCTTGGCCAATAGCTCGTGTGAGCTCATATAACAATACTTGTGGGTTCACCTTCTTTAGGTCGAGAACAGAAGTTTGCGTACAGTAACAGAACCCATTCTGGAGGTCATCTTTGACTCCTTTAGAGGAAAACTCATACTTGTAAAACATGAAGTCGACTCGCAAGAGTGAGTTGCTGCCAAAGACGATGTGAAAATCTTTTTGCTCACTTGCACCAGCTTGTGCGTTTCCCAATAACGCTTTGAGGGCCACGCCGATGAGGTCTTCAAGGCCTTTTAAGATGTTTCCACCAAACAAGTCCTTCACTGCGTTATTTATGTCAGTAGCGGGCACGTCCGACACGTTGACAGAATACTTCTCTGATGTGTCGACAAACGCCACAATTGGGAGATGACCGTTTTGACGTGCTTCATCCTTCATCGTTGCTGTAGCGGCAGCAACTTTGTTAACCATCATCTCTTGCAGCATCTGTAGTTTTTCCAGGGTTTCTTGTGCCTGTTGTTGCTCTTTTTCCTGTTCTTCCTTGATTTTTTGTGAAACGGCTGTCCCCATGATCTAGATTTCATAAAGGAAGAACAACTCAGTAACTGAAGCAAGCAACAATACGCTTGACATGACTCAGTGAAATGATAAGATTCTGAACCGATAAGACAAAAATACCATTGAATTTTTTCCTAGGTATTGTTTGAAATTTCAAAAACCTTTGGTAATGGTTGTTTTCTGACTTCATCTTCACTTTCATAAAAATCCTAGAATCCCAGTTAAAAATTAAAGACCGATAAACTAATCTTATCGTAGTTTTCGACTGAATACACGAGTTGTTAAACGAGGGTTCCGCGCATTACCAGTGTTCCAAGCCACCTTTCAAGGTGAAAATGATTGCCTTTCCACAAAATTCGCTCTTTAAACGTCACGAATAATACTCAAGATTCGTTCTCGTCGAAATATTGGAGATAACGATATGGAGCTTAAAAAACCGCATTTCACAGATAAGTATAAAGAGTCAATTACTATTTTAGAAAAAAAAAGCAATAAACTTGGGGCAAGTTTTGGAACATAATTAAGTAAGTTTAATATTTTGGCCATTTGGCGGTTAACCTCATTGAGACCCTCTAAGAAGACATGCTTTACATGCGAATTTCAAAATTCGTAATGCATCATTGTACAGCTTTGGTGAAATCGGTTGAACGATCTCTACATTTAATATCTAGTTGCTAAGAAGCGGTGTGAAATCCGTCCCTAGGACGCAGCTCTTTCGCTTTTGCAAATGAGGCAACCCGAACAGGAGTGACACGGGTATTTGATAAAGCTATGTCTTGCGGAATTCGCATAAATTTAGGCTTTAAATTTTTTTGGTCGTAGTTTGGATAAAGGTTCATCTGTGACGAGGATTATGACTGACAGCGATTATTTCCTAAGCTTCAAGCAATATATCCTGAGTGTCCTTACTTTGATTGCACGCACGCCAACTCTGGCACGAAGGCTCAAGGAGGGTGGACGTGGATAAGCCCAAATGACCAAAGAAGCTCACTACGTAGGCTTGTTAATGGATCTTAATTCGCTGGCCAGGAGTGCTAACTTTATATCTACTGAGACATGTTGGAACTCATGAGTGCCAAACACCGAAACTACGTCACAGTTCTTGTACAAACAGTAATCAGTTGCACTTATCTGATAATTAACAATTGTTTTTTGCTGATCAGTTTACTGCGTTCCCATTGAAATATGAAGCGTACAGTCGTGGGCGTGAAAAATTCTAGCCACAAGGTTCTCTTAAAAACTTTCCGAATTCTTTTAACGACGTATATAACGCACAATTGACGCAAGCATCAATTATTTCACGATAAACTCGTAAAGCGCAGCACAACATCAAACCTAGAATAATTTCTTAACCCAAGAGGCCTAGAAAATTTGATGGGACGTCATGATTGTACGTTTGATTGTTTGTTCATCAAGATGAGAAAAGAAATTTGGCTGAGAAGGGAGATATCAAAGAATTACTCGAGGCGTGGTGGAGAGCAACTCTAAGTGGCAAACTTCCAAGTGCTTTGCTAGAGGTCTTCAAACTTCCTAAGAGCTTGATATCCTGTTGAACGCCCAGTTGACACACAAAGCAATTGTTTTACAATGGAGCTTTTTGTGCGCAAATCATCAAAAGAAACCTTAGAGAATTTGGAAACCGATCAAATCGTTCATACTTGTGACGGCATGCTCTATTGTAGGTAAAACATGCCAGAACTTAGGAAAACTAGAAGTTGTATAACAGTACAAGAAACCAAGCTTATGTCAAAATCAATGGGTCACACAGAATGCTTGGACATCATTAATTATTCATAAGTGATTCTGCCCTGAAAAGCCAACAATAAGAAAAGAAAAGGCCCAAACTAGCGCAGCAACGTTGATAAAACTCACTTTCTCGATTGCAATAAGCAATAAGCGTGTGTACCGTAACTAAAACACTCGGTGCGATTAAAATAATTCGTGCAAAGAACTTCATTAGTGATATGCCGCGAACTTGGAATCTGCATAAGTTTAGTTTATAGAGTTTCGTGTACGTCTTTTGTGTTTATTCATTTACCGCACAGCTTATTTACTCATTTTTGCAATTGCCAATACAAACAACGAAGGATAAAACAAATACGGTTAGAAAAGGGTGTTGATTTTGATACTTCAGCTATTGTTGTGCCATAAAGTCAACTCTGAATACATGACGTATTTGGTAACAGGGGTTCAAGATGAAAACAGGATGAGTACAGCAAACTAAGAAACAACTATGCGCAATCGTTTACTTGAAAAGGTTTCAGTCCTCTTTGCTTTCTGTGAGCTGTTTAGAGATTTATGTTCATATGTTTATCCTGAGGTAATTTGTGCGCGAGTCTTATTAAAATTAACTCAATTTCTGCTAACTTATGAATAAAGGCTGATAGTTTCTAAAGAAACTGTTTGGCGCTGCGTCGGTGGGGGTAACGAAATAATTTGAATATATCAACAAAGTTGAAATGGTAAATTGGCCACCGTTACGGTTATAAAAGCTGACGTTTCGAGCGTTAGCCCTTCGTCGCTCCGTTGTTGATATGTTCAAATTATTCTGCCAACTTAGATGGCCATTTGCCTATAGGTGTACAGTGCTGACGTGAGCAAATGCTAAGACTAGTTCTCGTGCACTTGTTTTGCCTTTTGTAGTAGCCACAAGATTGAAAAGAAATTGCTCTGAAGAAGTATTTTTTGTCGAGAGAACAGCTGAGTACAAAGAGTACCTTGTTAACCAGGGTTACCCTTCTAAATTAGTTTCTAAACAATTCTCCAAAGCCTCCGCCATCCCTAGAAATAATTTACTCAGGACTCGTGGAAAAGAAACGAAGAAACTATTTCCATTTGTTATTACATTTAATCCTAACTTGCCCGACGTAGGCAACATAATCAGAAAGCATTTGTTTATTCTGCAAT